ATCTTGTGGGGTGTCAGGTGATGGGGAGCATTACTGATTTTGTTGGCTGAGTGTTGGCCCAGCCAAAGGGGACACAGATCCCAACTGCGTTCTGGATGTTGCAGCCTTAGTTAAAAAGGAAAGGGTCAATACCTTGGTTATTTTTCTATGTGCTATCTATTATTTTTATTGGAGGAACTGGGATGTCTTGAGTTTGAAGTTTTGGTTTGTTCTTTTTTTTAAGCAATTTTGGTGTCCTGGTTTGTTCACTGGTGTGATGCAGCAGCATTCAGATCATGAACGCCTATTGATGTAATTATGCATGTGACTTTTTGGATGAGATTCAAAGGGAAACAAACAATAGGGACATTTTTGTCTTATGTGGAAACACAAGTGGTTAATTTTGAACTTGAGATGTAGTGACTAGATGAAATCAGGTGTGATAGAGTAAGCAAAAATCGTGTTTTCATGCTACTGCTTTGTCCTAGAAAGCTTGACTTTAAGGTACGCTTTTCTCTTGACTTTTTTCAAGAGGTCATCTCATCTCCAACAGTTAAATCATAGCTGTCAACGTGTTTAATGAATTTGCCATCAGAAGCCTTATTACATTATGCGAAGGATAAGAAATGCTAAAGATATTAAGGATTACCTTTGCTAGCACAGACCTGAGTGGAGGAGACTTACAAACAGCAGCACCTATGGGAAAGACTCAAGTATTCCTCCACCTCCCAGCCGTTGTCATAGCAAGCCCCTCATTGTTCCTGATGCTGCAGCGTGGGAGCATGAGTAAGGGCAGAAAGGTGAGGGGCAATTCACAGCAAATACCTGATTTCTCCTTCTCTGCGTCACTGGATAAGACCTGCTGCTAGTCCAGGAGGGGCAAGGGCTATTCACAGGCAATGCAGTGAGGATGGTACTAAGCTTTTTGAGAGGGACCGTGGTGGCTGAGCTGGTGAAAGCTGCCTGAGGCCAGAACTAGAAGCAGAGTGGCCACAGGCACCCCGTGACTTGAAGGCAGCCTGCTCTGCCTTGTTCATCAGGGTGTGCATGGTGCTTCCCAAACAGTCACGGGGGGAAGGAACCTCAAATCACTTGTTATTTTCCCAGCATGGAGGAAAACCTCGCAGAGAAGTTGAGCTGCTCTTGGGGTATTGTAGGACAGGGATAGCCAGATGGGGACTCAGCCTATGATACTCTGTAATGCTCAAACTAAATGCTTTTGGTTCACAAGGAATACCCTAGACTAAGGTACTAAAACATTTGAGTTGTTTCCAGTGATCCTCACTGCCTTGGAGCATTCCTGTGGTGCTTGCAGGTACCGCTGGAGGTTAAAACTCCTGAACAGGCAAGAATCCCACTTATATTTTTTAAAGCAGTTGGGTTAAAATGTGACACCAAGTGGGGCTTTTTGTCATGAGTGTAGCTGCTCGTAACAGCAGAAAAAATATCCTCTCGGTGAGATCTACTGGAAAGTATTTGGATAGTAAATTTGTTGCATTAATACCATTTGAGTAATGGATAGTGTTTGGAAACGAAACTTTCCAAACAAAAGGAATAATGTACTATATCTGGGAAGAGAGTTGAACAACAGGAATTCACATTTTCCATTTCCTAGTGTGGAACAAACAAAGTAAGCTTAAAATTAGAAAACCTATTAGTCATTACATTATGAATGGCATGGTCGAGTAATGCCATAGCTTGGGGAAGATGTTTGTTATAACTATGTACAGTTCCCTAAATAAAACGGACCTGTTGCCTGGCGCATGGTGGATCTCACCTTAGCAAGATGGAGCATTTGGTATCTCACACCCAAGCATCTTCATTTGTGTGTGACAGAAGATTCGGGCTTGGATGACCGACAGGAGTCAGCAATGACTCCCTGGACTTTGCTGTTGTTGGGATGTACCTGCAAAAGGCTTTGAGAGCTGAGCACGATTCTGCCTGGTATTGGCGTGGCAGGAAGCTAACAGAGTTCAGATGTTTTGACAGTGCTGGTGATTCTGAACCATAGAGAAACAGAATCATAGAACAGCAGCTTGGAAGAGACCTCAAGGATCATCTGGTTCGACCTTTCTAGGCAAGCATGACCTAGATTAGATGTCCCAGCACCCTGACCTTAAGCTGAATCTTAGAGGTGTCCAACACGGGGGAATCCACCAACTCCCTGGGGAGATTATTCCAATGGGTGATTGTTCTGACTGTGAAAAATTCTCCTGTTGTGTCCAGTCGGAATCTCCCCAGGAGTAACTTGTGCCCATTACTCCTCATCTTTACCATGGGACTCAGCATCCTGTTGGCCTTCTTTGCTGCAGCTGCACACTGTTCACTCATATTGAGCTTGCTGTCTACCAGGACTCCATGACAACTTTTTCAAAACCTATGAGTTTTGCAGCCAGGATTTTTTAAAAGCAAAAAAGAGTAGTTTGTTAAAACATGTCAGTAATGAAGTAAAATCCTTCTACAAACATTGTGATTAAGGTCACTTCACCATTTACTTGTGGTGGTGCTACCCCCGGACTGCACTAGAGCGTGGCTTACTACAAGCAACAAGCAAAGTAGGAGCAACAGAGGTTGCTTTTCAGCTCTGACTGAGAACCAGTGTGGGCTTCAGCCTTGCTTGTTGACCAAGAAAGAATGGAAACTATGAGTTTAGCAGTAGTGCCTTATTTAAAGCAGGAGGAATGCATGGCAGCCTGGTTTAAGGAGGGACAGTTTCACTCTGTGTTTAGCTTATTGTTTTGAGAGGGAATTCATAAAACTGGGAAGACTTGTTTGCCTAGGAGGAAATAAAATGCCTAAAGTAACGAAAATACTTGGTGTGTGGAGAAAATGTCTATGTGTGCATATTTAGAGCCTGTGTGTATAAACATGCATATACAAACCCAGGCAAAGAGGAGGAGCGCAGAGTGATGGACCTGAGTGAGCAGCAGCCCTGGTGAGCAAGCGCAGTGGGAAGCGCTCCTTACCCACTGACCCATGGCATCCATGCACTGCCGGTGGGCACTGTGGAGGTACGAGGTCCCTTCCTGCACACACCTGTTTGACTTTGGTTTACCAGAATTTCTTACAGGTGTAAATCTTATAGGCGGTGACAGCAGAACAGAGTTTTTATTGTCCATCAATTCCCCTCTTCAGAGGTGGCAGTACAAGAACATTCTGGGTTTCTGGCGAGCCAATGGTATAAAATGAAAAGCTTTTGTGCCTCTCAGAAAGCCACTGGATTGTGTAGGTTTGCCTTTCACAACCACAACTGTCAGCCAGTCTCCTGAACTTCAGAGAGCTGGTTCCTTCTCCCGAGCTCTCTGCTGAACTTGCATGACTGATAAACCTGTCTCCCTTTCTTTCGTTTGTGTCTGCACAGAAAAAGAGGACAATATGCTGAGGGGCTGCATTTTAAGGCTGGCAATAAAGGTATCGTGAAGCATACAGGCATTAATCTCAGCAGACTGGTATGAAACTCTTGGGCTATACTTCGATATTACTCTCCCCATCGCTGCTTTTGACTACTAACCACTTGAGCCATTAGCTGGTAAGTTCTCCAGCTTTGCCTTTTTCAGTAGCCTTGGGCTCATGTCTCCAGATGACTGACAATAAAAGTTTGACTGGAGTGGTGACAGCCCATCTACCACAATTAACATCCAGCATGTGTTTGAGGTTTGCTTATAGTAATGTCATTAGGCGGAGCTACAGCCTCTGGCACTTCTGGGAGGCTCTGTCGTTCTTTAAACCCACTGAAGACAGATGTAACTTCAAAATCAATCAAGTATCACCATCACTGCCTCTAAACACATCACACCTAAACTCTGTGAGAGGTTTCCTAGGTAAGTGAGACACAAGATCTCTACTGAGAGGAAGTTACAATTAACACATGATGCTAATACAGGTAAAGAAGAGGAGGACCCACCTGGAAGAATGGAGCAGCCCAGTAGTAGACCCTGTGTGTTAAGCTTTGTTTCGAGGCTCTCCTCCTCACCTCCATGGTGCAGGCCCTGATCTGAGGTAAGGATTTAAATGCTGATTAAATGAATTTGCATAACCTCAGCCCACGGAAAGTCTGGTTAAGCCTCATGTGTGCAGGCAGGCTGTTTTCCCCAGGCCAGCACAGCGAGCTCCTAACCCCAATGCATCACAGTCTGCAAGGGACTTGGGGCACTAACTCCAGGTAGGTATTAAACAAGATCTGATTTTATTTGAAAGGGAAGAGAATTAATGATGTTTGGTAAAAGTGGGGTTTCTTGTCCACCAGTTGAGCAGACACTTGCTGCTCAAGCCTCTGCAGCTCGTGTTTCTCCTCCAAATCAGAGAACAAACTGGGCAGCAGCCATGTTATCACAGCAGCAGATGGTCCTCAGGTGCGGCAGGGACAGACATGGTGTGAGATGCTCTGTGGGATGGGTTTGAACTCAGCACCAGCTGCAATAGTAGTAGAAAAATCTGTGGTCAAGGTCTTCTCCTTTCCAGTCCCTGCAGAGTCCAGAGGTACTGTGTGTGATTCTGAATGAGCAGGCTCAGTGCCACAGCAAAGCAGAAATTTCCATATGGAGTTATGCTTATTCAGTGCTACCTCTGGTTTTGTCTGTGTGTAGTTTTAGTTAGGAAAATGCCTCAACTGTTTTAATGTTCTTAATTCACGTAAGTCACTGTTGTCTGTAATTTCAGCAGGGCATAGGGAATTGTCTAACAACTGATGACATGCAAGTGGTGCCTGTGGCTGCAGCTGCTGGTATGGAGAGGCTGTGCCAAAGGCTGCCTACCTTGGCACTGGTTTCATACCAGTTCGTCCTAAACAGATGCTCTGGCCACTCAAGATATTGGGTTAAATGGAATCAAGCAGCTATGGCTCTTTGCATGTAGAAGCTGGTCAACGTTTCCTGCAATAAATGCAACACAGCTTCTACCTTTGCTTCAAGGTGTTTCAGATGCTGAGTGCCCTATGTGATATTCACATCCTCTGAGTCAGCCCTTTTGCTTTTTCTCCTGTGAAACGTGTGTGTTAAAGCAAAGAGGAACTTCACAGAAAACCCTGGCTCCAGGTGTAGTAAAAACACTCTTGGGCTGGCTTTTCTGTACCTTCTGTTCCTAAGCTGCAGGATTCAATTTCCTTCTGCTTGGTTGTGATCAGAGAAGAAAGATAACCTATGTGTACTAGCCTTATGTACTAACCAAGGGATGATCTTGCCCTTCAGCCTATAAAGCTACAAAGAAGTTGTTATATATCCTGAGCAGGTATCTAATATTCAGGGCCCCGTGGGATCACTTCTATTGAAGTGATGTGGCTCATGCTTGCCTTTCATGTCTGGTTTAGTTTACAGATGCAGAAAGCCTTTCCTCCTTGACTCACAGAAGGATTGACCAGTAGGCAGTTTGTTTGCTCACCACTTCCAAACTGCAGGGACAAGGAACCCAGGGTGTGAGAGGTACTGATGGGACATGGGGTGCCAGGATGGCGAGAGGGTTGGGCTGTGCCCAGCACTCACTCAAGACAGAGGAGAGCAGGAGAGATGCTGGAGAGAAGGGGCTATGTATTTCTGTTGTGTAGACCCTTGTTGGGATGACAGCAGCCAGGTTTTGATGCTGTGGTTGGGTAATGCTTCAGTGCCTCGTCAGTACTGGACTGATCGGGCTCTGCTGTGGCAGGAGAAGGTATTTTGGGACCAACTGCAAAAGCTCTGACTTGTGCTCCCAAGATGATGTGTGAATTCTGACTTACCTTACACTGAACTGGGAGAAAATTTACTCATGTCAACATGTCTAAATCCATGCAAAACTGGGGTAAGGACAGTGCAAATTCATGCCAGTGCTCCAGTGAGGTCAGCATGGGCATAGCTGCGTGTCCAGAGAAAGCACGTCCTGCGTCCTGGGGGCAGTCCTGGCCTTCTTGCTCTGCTGTGGGTCAAAGGATCTCAGAGGTTTCTGAAGGGTGGCAATTTGCTCATTCTGCTCATATCTGGTGTTTGCTCAAGGGGAAAACCAGCACAGCAGGAAAATGCATGTGGCTGCTGCTAGAGAGAAGCCTTGCACTGTAAAACGCACAGAGCTTAAGAAAAGAGAAGAAACACCAGGACTAGTGCTGCCTCTGTAAAACTTCCTTGATAACACAGGCAAGGTTGGACCTTATGTGATGCGCAAGCACAGGAAGCTGTGGGTTGCATGGGTGACAGTGAGTACATGGGTTTCATTATTTTAGCTAAATTTATGGAAATGTATTTTTCTCTTTTGCTTTTCAGGATACAAGGCTTCCCTTCCCCCATGAGCTGTGTCTCCACCTGAACGGGTGCGTTTTTGAGAGCGTCCCTCCTGGTGCATGGAGGACCCTTCTTTTCCGACCTTACCTAGCAATTTAGTGCAAATGCCTGGAAGAACAGAGAGGGCGTTTGGACAGCTCTCTCTTCCTGCACCATTAGAGGATCTTTGAGCTGTCTTTCTTCTGGCAACGCTGCCAGCAAAATAAGTTTCTGAGCATAAAACATTGCTACTTCTTGTGTATTGGGAGATCTGCTGGTAAAAGTGTGGGTATAAAATGCTCTCTGAGGTTGTTCTATTTGGTGGAGGAAAAGCCAGAGATTCAGTATTATTTTTGCTTAATCAACATACTGCGAAAGGAGAACAATGCAAACTTGTTAGTCATTTTCCAATACTCTAGATATTGAGAGGATGAATAAATCTCCAACAATGTAGTGATGCTGTGGTGGCTTCCAAAAGCCCTTCCTGCCTGATGCCACAGCTCTTCGTGGGTCACTGTCAGTACGAACCCTATGCTGCCCATGCAGGTTTTGGGGCATTGGAATTTTTTTGGGGAAGGCTATCATTTAAGAGCTGTGGGCTCTTCACGAGACTGGGGATCATGTTTGATTGGATGTGCTTTGTGAGTATAACCTTTGAGTCCGATTGAGTCTGGATTGTGGTTTGTCAGGCCCACATTTCTCTTCCCTCCTCCAAGGTGAGGTATGGGGAGTTGGGCACTGCATAGGGATGGATTAGTGAAGGGGTGCATTGTCTGGAAACCCGTTGCTCAACGACGGGTGCTGCCGTGCTGTAGAGAAAGGGGGCACAAACCACTGACCACTCTCCTGCAGCACAGATGTGCTGCATCCTTTTGGGTGCTGAGCTTCAGACGTGATGGGTATTGCTTGACATCTGACCATCTCTGGCTTACCACTGCAGCAGCAGCAGAGTCTGCACAGTGAATTGCAGATAGAAACTTGTATCTAAGCACGGAATAGTTTTTGGTGGGTTAGGTTTGGGGTTTGGAGGTTTTCTTTTGCTATCTTGTTCCTTATGTGGTTGGGTGGAAAAAGTGACAATGAATCCTGCTCAGTCATATGCTCTCATTCCATACTTTGTACATCCTGAAACCTGTACCTCTGTGTGTGCTCTGGAAAAATGCCATCTGGATTTCCTAATGGAATCTGACGCAGATTTCAACTTCTGTGTACTGCAAAGGAGGAGAAAGTTTCTAGTATTTTCCATTCACCAGAAAGTGTTAGCATGACCCCAGCATCAAGGTATGGAGGGCTCTGTGGTTCTTTTCCACTATAGTGTTCTTGTAGCTCTTTTCTCATAGTGTTTTATTTTTATGAGCATATAGCTTTTGTAATTCCACTTGAGTTAAGTGAGCTGTTCAGACAGCATGCTTCAAAATGTGCCTGAGGTGCTATTTTAGCTGTACTTTGCTCAAGATAATCCTTTATTTTAAAAGGTGCGTGTAGCCCCACCTTTGCGTAAACCTTTGTAACAGACAAGTACATAATCCTCCTTAGACAACCTGGGGGAAAAGTGTGCAGAGGCTTTTGAGCTGATTGCTCCTTCTGGCTGTGCACAAACTGTGCAGACCTCCACGATGCTCATCCTCTGTAGAAGTGGAGGAGAATGAAGCCTTCTAGTGCATTCAGCCAAAGTGGTGATCCAAGTGAGTTCTGCCTGGCTACCTGGAGCTACCTTACCTTGCTCAGTGGTTTCCCAGGGAGATCTGCTGCACAGAGCACTGGAGTGGGCCAGGAGATGCAAACAACCCAGAGTCTCACCTTCCTCACCTGCCTAAATCCTGGAGGTTTGTGTCCAGGCCAATGGTACTGTGGGAGCTGACAACCGCGGCTTGCTCACAGGAGATGGAGTCCGGGGTGGATGTGAACGTGTAGCTAATGTTGTTGCCTTCCCACAACACCTGGTGAACAGTCAGAAGAATGAACTGCAGCATCAGTCACCACTAAACCAAATTTCCCCAGTCTGGTCATTAACGGAGTGAGTGCTTGCTGATTGGGGATGACTCATCTGAATCATCACCATTATAAAAATACAGCACTCCAGCCTTTTGTGCATCTGCCGCCATCTATGAATGACTCTTCAGTGACAGAATTGCTTTTAACCTTGTTATGGGGGTGGGAAGCATCTCTATGCACTGTCTCTCAAAAAATGCTGCAGGTGTCAATGTAGTTATAATTTAACATTGTGGAGGTTTTTCACTCTAAATTGTATTTCAAAGATGGGCTGCAAATTGCAGGCCAGTTTCCCCAGCTGGTGTAAACTCACACAGCTCTGTTGATTCTGCTGCAGCCTCGCAGACCTGTGCCAGCTGCATCTCTGACCTGTAGCATTGCTCCTGCTGCTGCAGCCAAGTGAACCTTTATTTTGTGGTATTTTAATAGCAGAGGTTGTGCAAACACAGGGGAGCAGGTGGTCCACGCCCTGGCTTTTAAGGACCAGATGTGCTTGCATTAGCGCTGGGATATCAGCAAGTGAATTACTATCACCCTCCTGGCTGCGTTTGCTAAACATGATGTGCATTCCAATGGCTTTCATTTTTGGCTATGAGACTCAAACCTCATTTGCTGAAAGTCAGTGCTGTGGTTTTCCTGAAAGTCCTTTGTAAGATGACTTGGATAACCCCCAATCCAAAGTCACTTCTGTAGCCTTTGGGATGAATTAGAGGTCACATCCCAAAGGGGCCTGCCGAGACTTTAGCAATAGAGCTGTTTGGTGGGGAGACGTTCTCAGGATGGGAGACAGTGCTGTTTTCCAGCACTGGAGATGTTTGAAGCCCCAGCCATCCTCCTGTCCCCTTTGTTCCTCCATAAGGAAGCAGAGGCGAGCGGGCAGCTGCAGTCATGAGCTGAGCTGAGCTCATGTCACTGTGGGACCAAAGGAGACCAAGGGCACCTTGTGAGATTTTCTGCCTCCCCTGGGCTGCCCTGACCAGCCATTTCACTTCATGCATGGGAGCCCAGCAAAACTCTGCAAGAGCGAGCTGTCATATCTTTCATGTGATTTCCCCTCATTTTGAGAGACTAACGTGATACGTATGGGAAAGTGCCAGCGATAGTGATCTGGGCAGAAACATGTTGGACTTCATCTGTTTATGTGGAAGAGCCACAGCAGTAACCTTTCTAAGAAAAAGCATGATTCACCGAAACTGTATTCTTTATGCCCCATGCCTACTTCCATGAAGTATTTCTTTCCACAAAACAACAGTAAAACCAATTCAAAGCCAGAAGACCTCCACAGAAATATGGTATCAAGAGGTCTGCAGACCTCTGTGCTTGCAAAATGTCGTTTATCACCTTCCAGAGAAAGCCTGTATTTGCTTTCTGAGGGATCCCATCACTCCACATGTCGTCATTGCACTAAAGAAAATGAAACCTTCAGCTACTGACAGATCTGGGAGGGCAAAGAAACTTCTTGGTTTTGTAGCACTGAAGCTAGCCTTTGTATACTGCCATTGCTGTAGGAAAATAATCTTCTCCCTGTCAGACGCTTTCTCGGGTCCCACCAAAGTCAAATAGGAGTTACACAGGTGCTTCTAAACAAAATGAGTCTGCTCTCGCTTAATGAAGACATAATCCTCCTCTGAGCTGCAATGGAGCCATGCTGGTGTGATGGCGGGGAGGCAAGATCCCACACAGGCCCTGAGAGCTCCCAAAAATAATCCTTGCTTTGGTTTGCCCAGCCCTATGGAGCAGCTGCATCAGCTGGAGAAATTTTGCTGGGGGTACCCCATGGCTCAGTGATGCTCAGTGGCTGTGGTGTGAGGGAAAGCATTTCTTTCCCCATCACAGGATGTTAGGTAGTGGGATCTTATTCACAGATCTCTTCCTGGTTTTAGCAACGTAACTGAATATCAACTTTTTGCGATATAAGAATAAAGCAAACCCCAGAGGCACAGTGGTGTTGCTGTGGGGTTGATGTATTGTGCCCCTGAAGAAGGGGTTCACTCCGTGCCAGGCACCTATCTCACTCCTTATTGTGTTGGTTACCTCCCTGCTGCATTTGGGATGGTGGGATGACACCCACCCTTCACCTGCCCTGGGAAGTGGCAGGGGACTCATCACTCACCAGATGCTCCTCCCCGTCACATGCTCCCACCTTCCCCAGGGAAAGCTTGTTTTTCTTGTCTCAGAATGCTCTGGGTGATGTTGCAAGAAAATATGAAGACGTTGTTTTCATCCATTCATTTCAATACCTCAATCACCGTCTAAATTCTCGTCTCTAGCACCCATCCTAGCAACAGCACATGGTAAAGCTGAGGAGCATCAGCCAAGCAGGGGCCATCCTAGTCCTCATTTGCTGTGGGCTGTTGCAGGTCTCAAGGCAGGGAACTTCTAGGGACCACAGGACACACCAAATATGGATTTTCCAGAACCCCAGGGATGCTGAGAGCATGTTATCCCACATCAGCAGCATCATCTGAATGAGCTTACATGCAGCTGCCTTGCAAAGACAATAAATTCATTGTAGGTTTCAGGTGGGCAGCAATGAACCCTCGCTTTGACTAACAGACACTTCCTTCTCAAATGGAAAATAGGTCTTCTTTGTTTGTTTGTTGTTCTTTTTAGGTGATGGACAGGAGATAGCCAGTCCCCCATGCAGTGAGCTGTTTATGTTGGTTTTGAGGGGCAGCCCTGGAAATGGTTCCCCCCTTCCTTCTCACACCCCAAAGGCTGTAATATCACCAGAAGATGGACCTCACCTTACACTGCCATAACTCCTAATCCTAGGGGATTTTGCTGTTTCTAAAAACACCTCCCTGTGCGCCTATCCACAGATTTAGTCCCTTGTCTAGACCTGAGGCATGGTGTGTCTGTGCCCTGTGCAGTGGAGCGGGGAGGTGAGTGTCAGCGTGCATGAGCAGCTTGTGTGGTGCCAAGGGCAGCAATACTTGGGATGTCCCAACACCCCAGCATCCTCTTTCTGCTCCCATTGCACTGCCCTGCCGGCACCCATGGGCTGCAGCATGGGAGCTGCCCTGGTACCCCCCCCGAACCTCCCATGTGGAGCCGGCACCTGCAGCGGGAGGCCGTCTGACAGCACCCACGCCATGGGCTCCTGCCCTCCCCCAGCCGGGTGAGCCCGCGTGTTTCCCTGTTTGCCTCTCACCTTCTGCTCTGATCCTGGGACAGGGGACACTGACACCCAGGCTGCTGCCCCTGCAGGAGCCCGCTCACACCCAGGCTGTCACACCCGGGGGCTTTCCAGGGCTCACATCCTCCTTATTCTCATTCCCCTGGAGGGGCTGGAGCCCTGCACCCGGCCGTGCTTCGCTGCCAGGTCTGTACCGACGCTCAGGAGGGGCTGGTGGTGAGAGCGGGTGGTGGTGGAGAACTGGGAGGCTGCAAGAGCCACGGAGCTGCGGAGCAGCAGAGCTGAACTGATGGAGAAGAGGGAGCCAGGGCTCTGTCCGACAGGTTTTGTTTGCTGCTACAGCCGTGCCAGTTTGCCTGCTCTTTTGGGCTGGGTGCAAGCCCAAGGCATCTGCATTTGTCTGGGAGGATAGACTTGGTTGTATATTGTTTGAGGAAGGTTGCTGGGGTTTCTGCTTCAAAATGATGCATATCCAGTGTG